ATGAAAGAAAACACTATTTATATACAAAGATTAGACAATATGTAGAGGATCCGTTCAAGGACTTATATTGTATGAACTCAGTTGAAGTAAAAATATGAACAAATAAAATTAATTATTTGTTTGAATAATTATTTTAACATTAATACGTATAAAAAAATTACATACCTATTAAATTATAGTAAAACGACAGTAAATATAATAAATAGTAAAGTGCATAATAATAAAATGGTAACTGGATAAATGAATAGCAGTGATAATAAGATATATAAAGTAGTAATAAAAAAATAAAGCAATATTGATAGAACGATAATTAGCAGTAGTTTAAAAAGTAAAAAAAATAGATAAGTTATTCAATATATTATTATATAAAAAAAATAAAATAAAGAATAAATTATACATACCTGCTGTATAAAGAAAAAAAAATAAAGTTTTTGTTATGCTTAAGTTACGCTAAAAAAAGTTTATAACTTACCAAATTCAGCATCTGACAAAACTGTCTAGTGTAGCAATGTCAGTAAAAGATACTTTAATCGAATCTAAATTATCATCTGTTACTAATCAAATTAAATCCAGTAAATTATAAATTTAAAACTTTATATCACTTATAATTAAAAGATTTATTTCTAATATTATTATTGTAACTTTGAACTTCGTCTTTTTGAAATTGAAAGAAAAATAATAGATGTAAGTATATTATTGATCAAACACAAAAATTGCAATAATAATAATAATAAAAGATACAAGTTACAGAAAACTCTTAATATAGCATAGATTAATCAAAATTAAAATCTCGATATAGCAAAGTTAAACTCAAAAGCCAGTCTATGTAAAGTCTTAACAATGAAACGGAATAATTATCATTATGAGGGTGACTTATAATTACAGTATACGTATGATAATCATTAATTACGTGATTAATATATATCATTCTATTTTTAGATTTTCAGAAATTCTCTGTCTGAGATGAAATAACTTACTTCTACACTATAACAATATGTTATAAAAATAACACCAAACAAAGTTCTTATATTATACAATAAGATAAATATAAAAACTTAATTTTGGCCAGAGGAACCTCGGAACTCTATTTTCCTAGCAAAGACCCTATATGAGTTAAATTATACTCGGATGCTAATACTGCTAATTTTCGTCCCAATGCTGCACATTCACTATAAATTTGTTGTTTAGAAATTTTATATTCAATTTCATTATAATCACTACTCAAATTATCTTTTCTAAGATCTCAAATCAAATCTATAGTTAAAAATGAAGCTTGTGCATCATCAGTTATAAAAAATTTCCCAGAAGAGTTTGATATACCACAATTATCAAATAAAGTATTAATTTTATATAAATCAGCATCATTCTTATACTATCTATTCTTTATTAAAGTGATAGCAAATTTTGCTTTCTGTGTTTTTAACATAACCTGAAAGAAGTAATGACAAACAAGTCTATCACTAAACAAGAGCAAGCATGTACAGATATGCGATTGATCCTTAAGCAATATAATACAGTTTGTTAAAACAGTATTGGTTCCCATATATTGAACTTCCCAAATTCTAATTATATTATTAGGATCAATACGCTTGATAAGAGATCTAAGAGCAACTTGTCTTCTATCTGAATAATCTTCAATACAAGAGATAGTATCAACTGCATTAATCTAAAGATAAAAATTAGATCATTATAATGTTTTAAGAGTTAATAAAAAAACAAACTTACAACTTATATTATCATATATAGAAAATTGTTCAAGTGGAATTGATAATAAATTATATTCAAAGCAAATATCAATTTGTGCTTTTTGGATCTGAAATATTTTATCTGTCAAAACTGACTTCAAATCTTCTACAAGCTTTGGAAAAACTCAATATGATGCTAAAGATCCTACATTATAAGGTAAACTTTCTAAATAATCTCTATATTTGGCCTTTTGAAGTTCAGATGCTAACAACTTTTGTATTCCATTAAAAAATTCTCTCAATGTTAAATGCAAATTAACATATTTATATACTATTGCATTAATAGACTCTATCTGTTGAGTTGATGATATTCTGGTATTAAACTCCTATAAACAGGTATATAAAAAAAGAATATAAAATTATAAATTCTAATATTTAATATTTAATAACTCTTAACTCTAAACTTAACTAACCTCTTTAACTAACTCTA